TTTTTTCTTCTTATTCCAGTTCTGGTTTAAGACATCTTTCAAGCCACAATGTGTATATGTCTTCCGTAATGAAGGATTTGCGTTGATATGCAATTTCAACATCATCTCTGTCAATGTATCTGTCGATTTCATTTTTCATTGTCAAGTTTGATAGTATGATCATTGGTTTCAGCGTGGTGTTGTTGGCAAATATTCCTGCAATCAGTGTTATGCGTTTTTGAGAGCGATCAACAGAGTAAGAGTTGGTGTAGTCATAGTTGTCGTCAACATAAAAGTTGCTCCTTTTTGAATCCACAAATGGACAATAACCACTTTCGTCCATGTTGATAAGGAGGGAGGGTTTAACTCCATTCAAGTGGACAACTCTTTCGCCGGCATATTGTATGTCATTGTTCAACAAATCAACAGCTCTAGTTTCATAGCTTCTTAACTCATCTTTACTCAGCTCAGCTCTCTCTTTATCCATTGGTTTTGCAATCTTCTTAATTAAACCCTCCCTTCTCAAACTGTTTGCGATGGTTCTTTTTGATACTTTCTTCCCAACAACTCCTTCTACAACATTTACCATCTCTTTGGTGGTGATTGGTTTGGTGGTGTTTTGTCTTTCTCGAATTGTTTCCAACAACAACGGCATCCTCGATTGATTAATTTCTCGTTTTCTTCCAGACTTCCCTTCGACATCATCATACAAGTTGTTGAGGCGGGCCGTCGAGGGTGAGACACCCAACACTTTGGCTTTCGTTTCAATTGAAACCTTTTCAAGCCATTTTTCACTTCTCAACAATTTCATTTGTTGTTGGAGTGTTAGACATTCCATGATTTCTGTTGCATGGGTTTCACAGAAATCCAAAAAATCACAGCCACGACCTGATTTTGTACTGTGGCGCAACACGCTCAAATCCAATTTTTTTGAAGCGAATTTTCGCTGTGGTTTGGACATGATTATTGAGTTCTGAAACCAGCTGTATTTATTAATTTTATTATAATTAATGGTTAATTTTATTAATAATTATAATTTGAAGTGTTTCGAAAAATTGTCTTTATTCTTTCCCAACAATTTGACATCTAATCTCAATATATATTTATAAAATTTGGGTGATTTCCCGTTTCTTTATGTAACAGTTGACTCTTTATTTTATATTTTTCATGTTATCAAGAAAATAAATTTATAAAACGATTATGTGACCATAACTTTGATACTCATGATTGTGTATAGTTTGCTTCCAATACAAATGTTGTTTGTAATAAAAAGGAGTACTCAATTTTAACAAAAATATAATTTTTCAATTACATTTCTTATTTTACTCAAAAAATGAAAGGGGGTGAAAAAAAGCACTTTCATTTTCTTTTTTTGATAAACAACAATGATTATGAATAATGTAATATCTATAATGTTCAATAAACAGCTCTTAATGTTACAAAATTGACAACTAATTGTCATACTGTCAACTATCGTTTTTATGATTATCCTTGTTTGTGTTCTATTTTTCGAACATGGTGAAAAAAAAGCACTTTCATTTTTTTAGAAACTATATTAACTATATTGAACTATACTTGTTTTTTAAATTACAAAAAACAATTTTCGATTCAAAATTGAAAATGTTATACATTTTATAAAATCAACACACAAAAATGTTGAGATTGAGAAGAAAACAATTCGTTTTAAAAATACACTCCTTTGTTATAAATAGTTTTATTTGCTCAAAAACATATTTTCAATATTATTTCAATGATGCGAAGAAATTTGTAACTTTTCTTGAAATACAAAAATAAACCGAACCTTTATTCAATCAACAACCATTTTTACTCAACAACCTTTTTTACCATGACTATATCTATTTATTTTCAAACTAAAAATCAAACTAATAATATAAAACTGATCAAAAATTAAAATATTGAATTTTTGATGGTCAATGAGAAAAATACGTTATTTTTTGCTCGGAAGTATTTTTGCCTTTAGTGAACTCACATAACGACGATGTAAAAAAACAAGGTGTTGCGATATATTTCTGGAGTCGCGGTGAAATGGACGACATATTCATCACACAAATAACACAAAAGTTGATTCAAACATTCGAAAAGAAAAAAGGATGAAAAGACACAAATTTTGTTTAACCCCTTGTCGTACTTTTGTATGTGGGTTCACAAAAAAAATCGCGTTCTTTGTGAGAGATATATAATATGTTATCATGACAAAGTTTTCTATTTCTTTTATACGACTTTGTATAAAAAAATTGGCCGATTACGTATATGTGTCAGAAATTGAAGAAAACAACAACGAGTTATGTTGATTTCTTTGGAAAAATGTCGATTTTCAAAGCGACTGTTCTCCGGTTTGTTTATAATAAAACATTGTTTGTATGTGAGATGTTTTGACGATAGTTATGTGTCTTTTTAATATTTTAAATCCAATTGTGAATTGTTTAGTAATTAGACTTAAAATTGGAAAGTATCATACAATTATGTAACTCAAATATTTGTTTGTTTATTGAAGTTTTTTCGTGTGTATTACAATACACGTTTTCTCTCTTTTTTAAATAAATGAAATTATATTTAATAACATTATTTTTTTAAAAAACATTTTAAAAGCAAAAACATTTTTTCAAAGAAAAAAACATCGTTTTTTTAAGTGTTAATTAAATGGTTGTGTTGAAGTTAACAGGTAAATATTATAAGAAGGATTTTTATCCGTTCATTATTAACCAAATAATAAAATTTGCCCATTAAAAAACTCGAAAAAATTAATTATTAACAAATGAGTAATTTACATTCAAGATCGTATTTGTAAGATAAAAATAAACAGACATACAGTCTCATTTAATATATAATTACAGATACTCAAGAAATATCACATGCATTTACATTTTTGTGTGATGTAATGATAAGCAGATTAATAAAATTTGCAATAACTTCAGATTTTATTAGATTTTCTTTTAAATTAAACCACTTCAAAACATCCAACGACAAATAATCTCGATATAAAATGGTGCGAATTGAAAGTATCATAATTTTCATAATCGTGAATCAACAGAAAAAGAACCTCATTTAAAAACATATGGTTAATGAAACTATTCTAAAAATAATAAAAAATTAAAAACCCCGAAAACAAAAAACTAATAAATAATAATAATGTTATCAACGAGTTCGCCAAAAAAATACGAACACATAAATTATACGTGAATTATTAACGCATAGTTGATAAAGCTTGTTTTGTTCTGTGTAATTTAGGAAATTCAAAAAAAGAAATAAATGCTTGATAGAAACAGTCTCTACGTTGAAGATATTGCTGCTCTCGACACTCATTGATAAAAATGAAGGGCAAAGGGTCCAAATATTGTCAACACACTTCCAAAATATTTGTATTCTCAAAGTGAGCAAACTCAACATTGGAAACCACAATTTTCTTCCAAAAATTGATATTTGGCACATCTTAGTCAAATAAGTTCTCAATTGTTATTTGTTTTATTTAAGTTGTTGGCGGACAAAAAAACCGCCTTATAGTTTTAACAGGTTTTCCCTTTTATTTTTTTAACCAAACTAAAATTTGCCTTTTATTACTTCTCCCTTTTAAAAAAATTACAAGGAAAAAATCTAACCTGTTAAATAAGGTTGAACAAAAGAATAATATAACAATTAATAAAAATTAATAAAAATAAACTTACGATTATAGCTTACAATAAATTGTTTATCATTCATACTTTATACAACACATTCATTTTTTTTTCATCCCGAAAAATAACCGTTTTTAAGACCAAATAATAAGAAAATTACACATTTATTTATATCTTTGCCCGTTTTATTGTATAAAATCCGCTTAATATTTAAAAG